GTCATTATCCAGCTCTCTGATGCACAGCAAGTAATTGCAAAGACCATGGCCTGTATCAGGTGCACCTCAGTCTCCAAACTATACACATACATACAGATATATTTCAAAGGAAAATACTGTTCATCTTGTTCCCACAGAGCCACTGCTCGGTTTGAGCCACCAAAGAGATGGAGTGTTCAAGGCAACAGAGCAATTTCTACGCCACTAGAGCTCCTGTATATACAGTCTGATTTTCATCAGTAAGTGCTTCAAACTTTTTTTTATTTTCAGCAATCAAGACTGTATCACTTATACATGGAAGGTTGTTAATGAGTCTTCCTCCAATCCTGATATCACAGTCTTCATATAGCCCAGCTTTTTGGATTTGTTCAGCATACAGATTTAATAAGTATGGACAAAGGACATAACCCTGACACATATTTCTCCTGATTATAAACATGCAGTATGCCCATGTTCTGTCTGAAAGGCTGCTTCTTGGTTTGTGTATCGGGTTCTATATGAGCAAAATTTTTTTTCTTTTTTTTTTTTTTATATGAGCAAAATTAAGTGTTCTAGAATCATGATTTTTTTACAATGCTGACCTAGTGACAAGATGCTGCACTATAATCCCAAAAGCACATGGTTCCAGGCCACCTCTGAAAACCCACTGGAGGGTCAGCTATGGGTTGGTTCCAACTCTACGGTACACAACAACAACAAACCCCCAAGAGACCATTCAGACTAGGGTCTTTTCGATCACTTGCTATGCATCTGAGAGCTGAACAATGAATAAGGATGACAGAAGAACTGATGCCTTTGAGCTGTGGTGTTGGAGAAGAGCACTGAATAGCCCATGGGCTGCCAGGAGAACAAACAAATGTGTGTTAGAAAAAGTGCAGCCAGTGTGCTATGTGGAGTCAAAGATGATAAGTCTTTGCCTCACATACTTTGGGCATATTGCTAAGAGTGGTTATTTCTTGGAGAGACATGATGCTTGGGAAGGCAGAGGGGCTGGCGAAGGAGAAGAAGACCCTCAACCAGGTGGACTGACATGGTGACTGCCACAGCGGGCCCTAGTGTGTGTCAGGAAGTGTAAGGATGGCACAGGATAGGACAGAGTTTAGATCTATTGCTTACAGGGTTGTACTCAACTCAAAGACACCTAACAACAACATCCAAACTTTGTAATCATTCACACAACTGATTGCCCTGGCACAGTCAATAAAACATAGATAAACTTCTTTCTTGTGGTGTGCCATGAGCCAGAACTAACCCTCCAGCATTGTTTTCAGAGGAGATTGCCCGTCTTCCTCCTGTAGAGCAGCTAGTAGATTTGAACCACATGCCTTTGGGACTATAGCGCAGCTTCTTACCACTAGGCCACCAAAACTGTGTTGTTAAGCAGTTGACACAACCTTGCTTGCTGAAACCAACAGACCTGAAGTATTTGCTGCAGAAGGTCAAGAACTGTAATCTTCAATATGGACTGAAGTGCAACATCAAGAAGACAAAGATTCTCATCACTGGGCCAACTGGCAGCACCATCATGGAGAAGAGACTAAGGCTGTTAAGAATTTCAGCTTGCTCAGCTTCACTATCAACACTATCGGCTCCAGCAGCAGGAAATCAAAAGCTGAATTGGGTTAAGTCTGCTGTCAGGGACCTCTCCAGAGTGCTGCAGAGCAATGATGTTAGTATAGAGACTAAGGTGCACCTGATCCAGACCATGGTCTTCGAGCTTAACATTACTAAGGAAGACAGAAGAAAAATCAAAACTTTTTAGTTGTGATGCTGGAGAAGAGTATTGAACATATCATGGACTTCAAGAAGAATAAACAAGTCTGTCCTGGAGAGGGTGAAAACAAGTTGCTGCTTGGAGGCAAGGATATTTGAAGTGCTGTCTCATATACTTTGAGCACGTAGCCAGGAGGTACCAGTCCTTAGAGAAGGACATCATGCTCAGTGGAGGGACAGTGCAAGAGAAGAAGACCCTTGATGAGACAGAATGACACAGTAACTGAGGTAATGGGGTAGGTGTGTCAGAGACAATGAGATTGGCTCAGGATAGGGCAGAGTTCAGAGCTGTTGTGCTATGAGGTGGCTATGAGTTGCAGGTAACTTGATGGCACATAATAACAACATCTTTCTGGAATTCAGTGCTTTTAGTAAGATCCGTATGATGTCAGCAATCATATTCCTAACTACATGTCCTTTTCTGAATTCAGCTTGAATTTCTGGCAGTTTTCCATCTTTTCAACATTCTTTTTATGTTAGCAATCTGTTGCCTTCAATGTTCTATTGTAAGGCATATGGAAAAGGCAAAAAATTCACCCTGCTCTGAGGCAGTATAAAATCTAACTGTAGAGACAGAATAAACACACAAGGAAACATATGGCATCTTGAGTGGATACAATGGGTTATAAGTGGACCAAATAATGTAAATATTCTTCTCAGTTTTCCCACCTTCAGACTTAAGAGGAACCAGTGCTCATCAAGTGCACCTCCTATTATCACTTGTCCAGATAACATGTCATCTGTGCACACCTCTCCTATTCTGCATCTGCATGGATGGCTCACATGGTTCCATCCTGTGACCTGCTCTGTCTCGACTTCTGCAGACCATCCCATCTTTCACACTGAGTTCAATCTCACTTCCTTAAAGGAATCACTCCTGTTCCAGCATTGATTCCCATGGAGTGGGAGTCTCCTATTTTACCAATGGAAAAGCTGAGGTTCAGAGGTTTGCTGAGGGTCAGCTTGTAAGGGGAGGAGGCATCAGAAGGCAAGCCAGCATGCTATCTGCCTTCAAAGCTAATGCTGGTGCTATGGTAAAAGTCCACTTTCCAAAAACAGGACATACAGGTGCTGGCCCTCTTATTCTAGCTGCCCTTTCTAAGACTTTGTCCAAGCAGTGGGAGAGAGTGCTCCAACAGCGTGGCTGGTTACCAGGGATGGGAGAAGCCATGCTGGCTTCATTCTCTAGTTCCTGCTTTGGGCGACTCAAGAGGCAGCTTAAGCACCATGTTCTGACACCCAGCTGACATGTACATGTGAGTTCACACAACTCATATTAATATAGAAGAACTATCACATAAAAAAGTTAATGGTTGAATGAACTGGACTACCAAGGCAGAAAGGTGTCATGGTTAGCCTCTCTAACCCACAAACTTGAATGAACTTATAGCTGGAGATGGACAAGCACTTGTCCTGGGTAGGAAATGGGCATTTTGGACCAATACTGTCAAGAGTGGCGGCATCAGCTCACTGCTGAGTGTGGATAAGAACACATTTTTATTTTCTAAATCCTTTGTTACACATACAAATTGAGATGATGGGACAACTCTCTTACTTAGGAGAGCAAACATGCCAGAAAAGCCAAGACTGAGCACTATTTTTTTTGGACAGATTTTCCCTTTCACAAACCCAATTCCCACTGTGATTACTGTTTCCTGGTTCCTCACTGTCATCAGGCACCACACACAAATCCCTGGTCAAGGGCGGTGGGGACGGAGGCAGACTTCAGAGCCAGCATGCACCTGCTGACTCTTAGTACTTTCGTGGGCTGTGGTGGGGAAGGCTCTGACGAGAAACGTGGGAGTGGTAGTAGCGTAGTTGGGTAGCCCCTAATCATGGAGACACATCAGGCCCATTTGTAACTTACAATCAGTTTTCTCTTACGTACAAAGAGAATTCACTAAGGGTCTCCCTTCTGGACGCAGAGTTCTTCACTGGAGGTGATGCGCCTCCTCATGATGTATGGTCAAGTCTGCAGATGTTTGTAATTACCACAACTAGGAGGTGGTGCTTCTCCTGGCATCTGAAGCATAGCAGTTAGGGAAGCTGCTAAATACCCTACAACACACAGAAGATGGCCCGCCACAAAGATTTACCTAACTCCAGTGACTAAGTGCTGGAGGTGGGAAGCTCTGCTATGGACAACGGGACAGTCATCTGTTGCAAGCACTCTGGGGGTGCAGCTCTGAGATGCACAGCTGTGCTAAAGGAACAGCCCTATTCAGAAAGAAATGGGCCTCATTTTTCTTTTCTCCTACGGAGAAGGGAAAATGTTTCTAGCATTATGCTTTTCATGACTTAACTTATAGAGTAACATTTATCTACAGCTCTGATGGGGGGAACTCTTAACCCTTGAGGCTGCACTTATCCAGAGGCAGTCCTGGCACGTGCAGAGGTCTCTATGGGCCTCTGAGATAAAGTAACAGAGTCCTCTTTCACTCAATGGCCTCTAAGTTGTTAATCAACGCCCATACCACCGACCTTGTTTATGCAGAGCCTTGGCTTCTCTACCTGCTCTGGCATGTCTGATTTGAGAGCTCTGGGGTTTTAGGGAAATATTTTTTTCTTATATTAATAAGCACTTTGGCCAACCTCATTTCCAAAGAACCAGTGCTCCTTTCAGCCCATTTTCTGCCCCTAGTTCTCAAATAAAGGAAGGAGAAGCAGTGAAATGAGTAAAAAGCCTGGTTTCAGGAGTAAGCTGACTTTAACCGCCCCCCCCAAATCTTACCCCCCGCCCCGGTAGGTGAATGGGGGATTCCAGCCCAAGTTTGTTCTCTCTCTCTCTCTCACACACACACACACACACGGCAGGTTATATATGAATGTGCATCAACTATTATTACTGTTGATACCCGTGAGGGACTCAGTTCTGATTCAGTGATTTGTTATGCTATCAGTGAAGTTTCCTTACTGCTCTGTGAAGGAAAACTGGTTTCTAAACAAAGTCCTCTTTCTTTTGATAATAAACCAGAGCTCAAAGTTATTTCAAAAACAAGCGTAAAGACAGACTGCATTGTATAAACTTAGAGTGACCTTAAAATGACTTCACTACAGAGTCAGTGAGTTTCAGATGTAGAAAGAAAGTGCTTCTGGAAAAACGAGGCCCAGCTAAACCACAGATGGTGAGAAAGCCTGTGCAGAGACAGGTGCTGGAGCGGAGCAAACAGAACTGTGATGACGGCAGGGCCCAGGCGTGCACTCTGGCTGTGTAACTCTAGACATACCTTGCTCCCTGTGAGCTGTGCGAGGTGAGGCTTCAGGTCTTCTCCAATTACGGAATAAATAGCCACCAAGCAAAACACACTGGCCTTACGTACACTGCTTTCAGTGTTGTCATAACCCTGTGGAGTCAGAGGTGAACACAAAAAGAATAGGAGATAAAAGATTTGTCTCTCAGTCATATTCCACCAATCATTACACAATGCCCCAAACATTCCCTCTTAACAGGTCAAGAGTAGCTGTCCTCTGGGCGGCCACGGTGGGGGCTTGTGGAGTGGAGTCTGACTCAAGACCACCTCTCCACAGCAGACTTTTCCACAACCAGCTGCCTGGCAAGAATCATAACATGTCACAGGAGAAAAAGGATGAGAAAAAACATCAGAAGAACAGAAACTTGCCTCCTTAATGTTTATCCCAGTGGTAAAAAAAAAAAAAAAAAGAAATCAATCAATCATAGGTATAAAAATGGCTTAAAAGAATGCCTGTGGCGATAACCTGTCAACCCTGCTAGCAAATGTCCAGTGTCCAGCCTGGCAGAGGTACCCCTCCAGAACTGGACTTGTACCCACCTGCCACCCTGTTTTTTTCCTTCTGTGCTCACTGTACAAACAGCCTCAGGCTTTTGCAGCATGCATGCCTCTGACCCTGTGCCTGGATTAAGGTGGCTCTCAACAGTATGTATTGAAATTGTCAAACAAGGTGCTCAACAAACAGTAGCATTTATTAAATGTGAATCAAATTTCTATCCTTTCCCACTGACACAGCCCTCCTTCTTCAAGGCTCACCTCTCATGTGAACCTTTGTAGGATCCTTTCTGTTCCTCCCAAATGATCTCGTAATTCTCCAGCTGAACCTCTGCAGTAGCTCAACACCAGGGACAATGATCTACCTTTGTCTACATAGTTGTTATGCCCCATGGTAGAGGGAAAATCCAGAAGGCTGTGCCATAACAGCACAAACTATCTTTTAGCCTTCCAGTTCAATGCCTTACTCTTAGGAAGATCTCAAAAAATACTAATTGTATATTAAGAGTGAAGGTCATCTTTTGATTCTGCTCTCAGTCTATCTCACCTAGACCTTAAAGCCCACAAACAGTTTGCAAAACTATGAGCAAATTATGTTTAAAGTAAACAAAGTTTTATTTGGTGAGACACATTCTCCTTTGCCTGGAGAATCTCCCTGTTCTGATCAGGGACAGGCAGACTACAAACAATAGAGAGAGCTTTGAAATGTTCATGCTACAACGTCATAAAACCAAAAATGTGGGCCACTAGTTGGTCCTTCCTCGCTGTCCCCTTTTCCCAGAACCCAGTGAGGAGACTCACAATGCACTGCACAGTCACTCACAGAGCTGCTGTGCCCGCCAGCTGCAGAGGTGCCTACCTGCAGCAAGCCTGGGATGATGTCGGGGAGCAGCTGCAGCAGGGACTCCTTGGTGATCCTCTCTACGACTTTGGTCTGCATTTTGATAGCGGCGAGGTTGATGGGGTAGTCAGCCGTCTGGATGATGGGGCACAGCACTTTGATGCACTGCTCTGGATGGATGGAGCTGGCCAATGTAGATGCAGCCTCCTCAGCAGCTCTCACCACCTGAAAACAGCAGCACCCCCTGAGCTGAGTGCCCCACAAGGACCACCAGAAAGGACTGTTGCTTCCGCTCACCTAATGTTAGGTATGGTCATCACTTCCTCTGGATAACATCAAGGAAAATAAAAGCAGTTTATCTGGGAGGTCATTTTAAAGGGGACATGGAAAGCAGTTATCAAGGGTTCTGGCAAAAATTTTACAACAGTGAAGTGATCCCACACACCAGCAGCTTCAGCATCCCTGGGAATTGTTAGAAATGCACATTCTCAGGTCTCCCACGAGACCTCCTGACCTGGAGATTGTTTCAATAAGCCCTGGCTGATTCTCAGGCATACAAAATTTGGAGACTCTTTGGCTCAGAAGACCAGGTTCTGAGAGTCTGAATGTAAACGCTTCTTTCCAGTGTCTGTGGGATACCACAACTGGAATATTGGAAATCCTGGGAAGAAAGCTGCTTCATCCAGATGCTTCCACGGAGCTGACCATGGTAGCACAGCTGGGAAGGCTCTGGCAGAAGCCTTGGAGAAGGGTTTCCTGAAAAGTCTCTTCTGGAAAGCTGCTTTCTTGGGAATTTGTGATCATGATACCCTTCACCCTAGACTTTTAAAGAAATACATGAAGTGACCACCCCAGCACAAAAAAAGAACAGCGTGGAAGAGAAGCTGCCTCTGACCAGTGAAGAGCCCTCATGTGCACTGAGACCACAAGGACACAAAGTGCATGGATGACTACAAGACAAATGGGTGTAGAAAACGTGGTGCTGAACTCAAAATCCAATGAAGAAGAGCACAGAAGAAAACATGGCAGAAAAGAGCCTGAGGTACAGACTTGAAAGAAAACCGCAGGTATGGCATTTACAAGGGGCTGGGCAAGTTTCTGAACCCTAATTTTACCCATGTGTCAAATGGGCATAGCTCATAGAGATTATATGGTAAATAAGCAAAGGATAAACTCAAAACTCATTACTGTCAAGTCAGAAGTGACTCAAAGCCGAACCTTCACCAGGTTTCTGAGGCTGTAAATTCCAAGAGTAGAGAAGGTCTATCTTTCTCTGGAGGAGAGTAGATTTGAAATGCCCACTTTTAGGTTAGCAAGACAACTCCCTATGGACTATGGCACCAGTGCTCCCAATTCAAGGTATATTGTTGTTGTTATGTATTGTTTAGTCAGAAGTGACTCATAGCTGACCGTCCGGTAGGTTTTCAGAGGCAGTCAACTGCACAGGAGTTGAATGGTCATCTTTCTCCTAAGGAGAAGCTGGTGGATTTGAACCATGTGCCTTTGGGTTGGCAGTGTAGCTCTGCACCACTAGACCACTATGTTCTCTAATTCAAGGTAGAGAGGATAGGAAATGACAACTATACTCATTCTTCACTTACTGACATGATTAAAATCATTATGTGAAAACAGGTGCTATGTGAAAATGGAGGATGACCATATTAGGTGACAAAAATGGCAGGTAACATTAATACAAAACTGCCAAACCATGGAGAATCACAACCCAGCCAAGCTGACACCACAACCTTAACGATCAATCAGTGCTATTCTCACCTCTCACCTCAGAATCGGTTACTGTAAATACATGTCAATACAGGTATATTGCTATTATATAAACTACATATAAAGATAGCAGGCCATATGCTTAGGAAGTATGATGAAAACCTAATGCCCTGGACCAGACTATCACTATCTGCTCTCAACTTCAATATGTAACACAGGAGACAAAGGTCACTGAATCAACACTGCAATCAGTCCAGCCCTTGTAACCAGAGAATGACCATGAAAACAGTGCATGGACCCTCTGGAAAGCCTCTGTGGTTCTAAGCAGGAAAGGAGCAGGGAAAGCTTGAGAGAGGGGTAGGCCCCAACCTAGACTCAGAGGTCTCAGGTGCTGTTGACTTGGGGCCTCTCTAGGAGAGTCCTAGCTGCAACCTCAGAAAAGACTCTGTGTGTCCATGCTTACTCCATGAGGTATACAGAATCATCAATGCATGTGTTCTGCTCTCTGGAATAGTAATTTCTCTGGGAAATTGCTTGCATCACATTTTAAAAAACCAGTAAAGCAAGAGCAGGCTGAGCAGCTCACAGGAATCACTGGCTGGTGCAAATGGTTAAGGGGTCAGCTACTCGCATACAGATTCATAATCTGAACCCACTGAGGAACCTCTAGAAGCCTAGGAATCTGCTTCCAGGTTATAGCCTTGACCACCCAGTTCTACTCTGCACACGGGGCTGCTATAAATCGCAACTGAATGGATGACAATTAGCAACAGCAGCAGCAAGCAGCCAGTGGTGAGCTTCTCACTATGACGTTCCAGTTCCATCTGGCCTTTGACCAACAATACCTCAATACCTGGCAATTAAAACGTAAAAAGACTGGAGGGAAAGGCACAAAAGATTTTAACAATAGTGAGAAGGTTATTGGTAGTTTTTAAATTAAAACTGAGAATTAATTTTCAGAGCCAGAGAAAAGGTATTCCTTAAAAATCTATGTTAATTGTCTTTCGGACATTAAGGTCACTACAAGGTGCCCTCTGTGGGTTCCACATGGGAGTGTAAAGTGCACACTCCAGGGAGCAGCTGCTCCTGGCCCACTTGTGTGGAAATGACCCTCACCACGGGCACAGGCAGGTGCCTCTGGGCTGGTGGTATTAGTACTTAACATCACCGTACAAATTAAAATCAAACCTACTAATAGCTGAATATGTTACACATTATCTGCTCCCAGGGTCTTTTGTTTGTTTTTTGACTGGAAAGCTTTTTAAAATATAATTTAAAACTACTCTGTACCAGTACAATATATTAATCTTAGAGATGTAAAATGTTATCAGCTGTTAACGCATTTGCAAAAACCACACATCCTACTTCAGCTTTATTGCAGTTATCTATTTATCTATTAAGAAAATAATACTTTTTACACTAGAAAAACATAAAATTGCTTTCACTATAGAGAAGAGACAATCTGATTTTTAAGACAATATTCTATGAGAACATCTACTCAGAAAATAACAGGTTTTCACAGGATACCAAAATGGAGCGGTGCTTTGGCAAACCCAATAAAAGCATTGTTAAAGACCAGGCCGTGGTACTGAAGCCAAACTGTATGGGAACTCTTCATCAGAAATCTAGAGGCTGCGCAAGGTGGTTTCTTAGACTTAAAGGGTTGAGGCATTTTTCATTGAGCATTCTGAAATTCTCTTAGCGACAACCACGCTCTCAACAGCCATGTGCACGCTTCCTTCCATCTACACAATCTCTCTCACAATTGTTTAGATCTCCTCCATTAATTTATGCTGATATAAAACATTAAGTTGAATACTCCCTGGGTCGTTATAATCACCAAGTTGCTGTTAGGGGCTTGTTAGTTGACCATCACCCCCAATCCTCCTAATGAACAACAGTTCTGAACCTTAGCCAATCATGTGCCATCTTCACAATTAGTCTCATTGTTAGTGTCACTGTGGCAATTCATCATGTTAAGGAGCTTCCTCTTTCTCTGATCCTCTACCTTTCCCAGTATGATGTTTTATTTCAAGGACTGGCACCTCCTGACAACATGTCCAAAGCAAGTGAGACAAAGTGTCACCATTCTTGCCTCACAGGAGCACCCGAGTTGCATTTCCTCCAAGACAGACTTGTTCTTTTGGTAGATCATGGGCTATCCAGTACTTTTCTCAAACCCACAGTTTCAAGGCACTGATTCTTCTTTTGTCATCCTCACTCACTGTCCAACTTTCGAATGCATAGGAAGCAACTGAAATTGGCAAAGCTTGGGTCAGACACACCTTAGTTTTTAAACTGACATCTTTGCTCTTTAGAGTTTGGAGGGTCGTTGACAGCAAATTTACCCAATGCAATTTTTTTTAAATGACTCATGTCCTTTACAGGACCCCTGGTGGCACAGTCCACAGGGAGCTGCACGGCTAACAAACAGATGGGGCCTCCCTGATAGTGTGAATCCACAAAGCTCTTCAGAAGAAAGCTAAGCAATCTCTTCTCACGGGATTTACAGTCCTACAATCCGCTGAAAGGTCAGGTATGAGTTGGCTCTGACTTAACGGCAATGGGTTTGAGTATTTTTTTCAAGCTTTATCTCCTGTAAAGCACAACCTTTTCTACATGAGTTTCTGTTGTTTAGAACGGTTGCTCATGACTGACACAGCAAACCTCTGGAGTGTGTTACACTAACTGGCATGTACATGTTTTCACCAAGGAACTGGCATGGGAAACAAGGCAGAGAATAAATTAAACGGCTAGTGTGAGTTTTGGGAAAAATAACTGTACACAGCTCCCAGTGTTCTGTTTTAGGTGACATGCTAAATGCAACAGCCCAGTTACTTGACAAAGAGCTCAGGCTTATTTCCCCAGTAATCAACAGTTTTCATAGAAGTGGAAGAGACACTCCGAGAAGCCTCTTATGCAGTGAATGATCTTGAATGTGGGGCTCTTCTTTCTCTGTCCATGCACACCCTTAAGGCCATGATTACTGTTGGCTGCCAGCAAGCTTATTCTGGCTCACAGCAACCCCATGTACCCCACATGTACAGAACAGAACTGCTCCCTGGGGGTTTTCCAAGGCTATAACAGTTCAGAAGCAAAAAGAGACTGCAGGACTGTTTTCCAAAGCACCACTGAGTGGGTCTGAATTACCAATGTTTTGGCTAATAGTTGAAGTTGAGCATTTCACCAAAAAAAGATAAAGAGATGATAGAGAGAGATTCTCTCTTTTCTAACTGGAATCAGCCATAAGCCTAAGCTTTGAAACTACAGGCTTTCCAGTTAAGTATCATTTTCCCCACTGTACAACATATTGGCCAGAAGGCTGGAAAGTACTGGAAACCTTGGATAAATCACTTAAATTCCTTGGGTATGGAGGATAGTGTAAAGGACTGGAACCCCCAGTTGATTTCCTAGGAAAACCCACATTAGAAAACACTGACTCAGAGGTGTGTAAGATCTGCTGGGAGGAGGGAGGAACTCAGCGGGCACAAGCAACCGAGATT